CCCCCCCCCCCGGCCGCCCCCCCAACAGGGTACCCGTTTCTGGGCCGGCAACAAGCACTGGGTACTAACAAAGGCGGCCTGAACGCAACAAAAAAAAAAGGTGCTGTGCATACAAAAGCGCGTAATCTACCACACCCCTACCCCCCCGCACGAAATCTGCACCTGTTCAAGAGCAAAGCCCACAAGTCATGCCCGAGGTCGGGCAGCGTGTGCGCTCCCAAGGGCTCCCCCGAGCGGTCGAGCAGCATCGCGTACGGGTTGCGGTGGGTGGCGACCATGGTGGCCAGGGCGTTCAGGTACACCGCTAGAAGGAAGAAGAAGCCGGCCGCGAGAAGCCTTGAGGCGTAATTCCAGCACAGGAACCCCCGGTGGAAAGACGCCTGCCAACACACGCACACACCGCGCGGACCAAGTCCGTCGTGATTGTTGTTGCTGCTGCTGCTGCTGTGCTGTGTTTCCTTGTTATTCAGGAAACGGGCAAGTACAATCAGAGCAAGACTGTCTGTTCGAGATACGTATAACCACAGCAGTCGAAGGGGATGGGTTGAAGGATTTTCAGTGAAAAAACAACACAAAAATCAAATAATTATTATGGCTACCAAATTGTCTTGTTTGAACCTGTTACCCACATGGGAGATCACGATGTATGCTACTAGGGAAGTCGTCGAAATACGAGTAGCCTCCGCTGACCCTATGGATTCCTTGCATATCTAAACTCTTTTCCATACATGAGAGATGGGTTCGTCGTGTCACAAGAAAACACATGCTTCACTATACTGTCCTTAAAAACAGGAAAGATTGTTGTTGCTGCTGTGGTAATTGTCAACCGAGTCCCTCTCCGGATAATGAGTGGCACCGCCCGGCGGTGGCGGTGTTGGTGCGCATGATAAGAGAAGTTGCTTTACATAGTTCGTTTCCAGTAAAACCGATATGGTTGAACCAGACGCACTGAACCCGTTATTTAGTCATCCCCGGAACGTCCCTATATATTCCTCGTCATCTGTATGTCTGCACTTTTGCCCGTGCTACGTCCAACGACGGAGTACCAGTATGATATATTGCTTGTACTTCTAGTACCGTAGTATGCATCATAAAACAGCAGTATCATGGTATCAAACTGCTGCTTCGTTGAGGGATCGAGAGTTTGACGGCACCACATACTTCCAGAGGGAAACACCACGCTCCTGTACAGGTGCACAAAGGCACTTCGACCCGCCGCGTGAGGTTCGAGTTTATCTTTGTGAAAAGTGGCAGGTGACAGTGTGTGCGGCCGCGCGGCGGGATAATGTATCAGAATTATCAAACAACAAAAGGAACCAAAGATGCGTTTACGAATAGTTGAAGATCGAGGGTACGTACGCATGTGATTTATTTTTTCTAAGTATGACGCAACGAATTCATCTCTATCTAAGAAAAGAGTCTTAAGACAGATTGACACCAACAACAACACTGACGCGATCGAACGAAAAGGAACCAAGATGCGTTTACGAGTTTTCGAACAGCAAACGTATCTATCGTTGAACAAACAAATGACCGACTCTTATCGAACGATCTATGCGTACAGTCGTCCGTAAGGCACGATGACTAACCAACATGAGAAAGGCGCCGCTGATATATGACCCGTGAGGTAGGGCCAGGAGCGAGAGACTGGGAGTGCGTTCACGAGCGGAGCAAAGAGAGCGAGTGTGTGACGTGTCTCTTTTTTGGATGACACAGGCAGGAGACCAATCGATGCGACACACTGGCTGACTGGTGTGCTTGATGCTGCTCTCACCCTCTCGCTGATGTCTGCGGCGGCCGCCACCATTCTGTACAGGTGCCGCTTTCTGCCGCACCGCTTGCACCCAGAACTGCGCTGCTGCTGCTGCTCCTGCTGCTGCTGCTGCTGCTGCTGCTGCTGCCCCGACCTTGCGGACGCGGGAGCAGCCGTGCCGCCCCCGCCGCACCCGCAAGCAACATTACCGGAGTCGTTTCTTACCCGCTTCTTTCCCAAAGGAGGGCCTACCACATCCTCTGTCGGTGCCACCCCGAGCAACAGCTTATGCTGCAGCCCCACCAACCACGTCTCCCACTCCACGCCGCGGTTGCTGTGATTTTTGTGCACAGCAGAGAAGGGGGGAGGGGGAGCGGAGGTGGTGGAAATGAGAAATGGAGATGTCCACACACACGACACCGTCCGTGGAGATTTCACGTTCAACCAACCGAGGAAAACATTTTCGGTTGACGAAAATATGAAAGGAACGAGTTGATTCTCATCGGTCGACTGACTTCGCACACCACCTCGATACACTCGCGTCCATCCGCTATATGGGTGGGTGGGTGGGTGGGTATACGTTTATTCTCCCTCTCACATTAGGGCGGAGACCTTCTTCCCTCTCTGTCCGGCCGTTGCTGCCGGCATCGACGAAGCGCTGCGGTGCTCGGCCTGTGGATTGTTGCTGCTGGCGCCGGACCTTTTTTCCACGGCGCGTTTGTGTTGCTGTTCCTTCGCGTTCGCGTTCGCGTTAACTGCTGCTTCGGCGGCCTTGCCCGGGACGGAGAAGGGAGGTTCCTTCCCACGGTGTCTAACTTCATCACCCATCACCCTTGTTGATCTCGGCGGTGTTGTTCCAAGCGAATGACAAAGTTTGTTGTGTGCTTGGAGAGATACAGCATGACAGAAGGAGCTGGGCTTCGGGGGGCATACACGAAAGGGATTTTGACACGTGCGAGATATGTGCGGGGTTGCGCAGGTAAATCTAGTTCCGCCGCATGTACGATCACACTGCGCACTTCACACTGCACATACCTTCTCTCCTGCCCCGTCCGCGTACTGGTGAGTACGAGCTACGCTGGCACCACGAGTTACCTAACGTTGTTTTTGGTCGGCGGGCACCGAACGCGAGACGCACTTGCGTGGTTGTAGTTGCTCGATGGGACACAACCAACTCACACATCCCACTTTTCAGCAACCCGTTAGAATTTTTGTAGGTCACGCCGCATCGCCGCATGCACTTTTGCTCTCCCGATACACCGCATTGCCGTATGCCACGTTGCTCTTTTAGAAATTCGCTGATAGATGCTGTTCATGTCTGGTACGTACAGGCTTCTCCCTCTTTCGATTGGTCATCTTTCGCTTCGAGCAACAAAAGCCCAGACTTGAGCTACGTAACATCTCATCGGTCGCGCTTGCTTAGACAGGTTCCAACTGCGCAAGCCCTCGTCAATGGCGACGACGTCCTCCGTGGTACGGATAGCCGAAGGGGCCATGGTTTGCGACGGCACCGCGGCGAAGCCTCCCTATCACGGAAGCGGTGCAGCGGGCGCTATGCTCACGGGTGACATAACGATAGGGCGAGACACCGTGGTGTTCCCTGGAGCCCAGATACGGTGCAGCGAAGGCGCCGGGCCGGTTGTAATCGGCCGAGGCTGTGTGCTTGAGGAGGGCGCCTGCTTGGTGAACGTGGGCCCCGGTGAAATGAGGGTGGGAGACGGAAATCTGTTCGAGGTCGGCTGTGCGGTACGCGCGCAGAAGGTGGGGTTTACCGCCGCAGTAGTCCTAGCGCTAATGTGGATGTGTTGCGCTCTACCTGCCGTGCTCGATACACACATGGTCTCACTCAACAGCTACTTACGATTATCGCAACGTACGCCGCGGAGTTTATCTGAAAGTGTCCATGCTACGATGTATTTATTTTTAGGTGTGCATGTAGGTGTAATACAGCCTGTTTTCGGCGAGGTGAACAACGGTGTTGTGACTGGAGTAGATTATCTAGTGGTGGAGGTATGCCTAACAACATCACACAAGTACACATTACGTTCACACAAGTACACATTACGCGGGCGGTTGACACATTGAACCAAGTTATTTTGGACGAGTACGTTGCCGGCGGCCCACTCAACGATAATACCTACTTGAGCAAGGCTATATAGGACATCGTGTGGTGGCGGCGGCCTCGCTCGATTTCTCACGCTGTTTTCTCGTCGTTTCAGCATCTGAGCATGGGCTTTTTGGTGCTTGCGAATGGACCGGTACACTGCTGTGGTTTCCTTATGGAGGCATGTTTTTGCTGATTGCGGCAAACCGACGATTCAAGAGAAGCACCCACCAGAAACACACCTCAATGCGCATCATTCACCAGTTTCTGCAACGGTTCGTAAAATTGTGCTTTGTTATGGTGACGCGGCGATTGGTCTCTCGGACTTTTTCTGGGATGAAAAACGAAGAGATTGTAGTTTTGGTGTCACCCGCCGAGACAATACTCTGGAAGGGGCGCATGCCCTACAAGATTGGAGCGCACTGCGGTTGCGACCCAAATCTAACAACGCTTATCTCTGGACGTCGATGACGCGAAAATGCCAGGTGGGCGACTACAACACCTTCCAGCCCAAGTGCGAAGTGGGGCAAGGGGTCACGGTGGCATCAGGTTGCTCCATCGGTGAGCCTATTCCCGGCTTGCTGTACTCTATTTTTCAAGTTCCAAACAAGTCTGCACGGTATGTGTAGATGATGTCTTGTCCAGTCTCAACAGGTGTCGAACTCTGATAATCGCTACATTTGAGAACGGCGAGCGAGAGAACGGCCTGGTGTCGGTGAAAGCCTACAGGGCGGGAAAATCTACAGGGGAAGAAACATGTTTTTCGGGTCCGGAATTGGGATTGAGAAGGGGCAGTGGTTCGCTGCAACCTACCAACCACCGAAGTATGGGCAGGCTGCACAATTTTGTCGGCCGTTCCATCGTTATGCCTGCTCTCGTGTGATCGCAGCACAGCACTAGTGGGTAGGGGGCGCGGGGAAGGTCCACGTGCCACGGTAGCGAAACAGACAACCGTTCAAGTGTGCAGCACGAAACGGCGACAGTAATGTGACGTGTGAAGTTGAGTCGTCCAATTCGACACCCCATTTTTTGGAAAGACACAAAAGACCCGTCCTCTTGGAACACGTTTCCCATGGGTATTTCGGTGGTTCACCACCCCCCGTCTTCCGCGCGCGACGCCACCCCGGTCCTCCGGCCGTTTGTCTTGCGGCGGCCTTCTTCCGACCCCTCAGCGCCGACGGTTGTGTTGGACGTTGCGTTGAAGCTGGAGGACGACTGCTCGGTGTTCCGATTAGGGGGTGCCGTGGATGAGTACAGCATTCAGCGACGACCCCGGAATACGGAAACGAACGTGAGATTTCACACAAGCAGCAGCAGCAGCAGCAGCAGCAGCAGCAACCACAGCAAGAACATGTTTCTTTCTTGCCCTGGCTAACCTGTGCGTGTCGCGATGGTAGTCAACCTACAGTGAAACGGAACGAGTTAGTCAACGTGTATGTCGATGAATGGCCCCCCTCTCTTGCAGCGTATGTTGCTCCTGTTCCATCGCCTCTTTTGGTGCTTGCGGTGCTGCTCACCCCCTTAACACGGCCTCTCCCCCCCCCCCCCCCCC